AGAACCAACCATTCTCTTTCAAGATAACCAAGATTGGTCTTTTCAATTTGTATGAGTTATTTTAAATCTGGGGATGTTTATTATTATTTCTGAATAGAGGGCAATAGTTTTACTTTTAAAAAATTCAAAACTTAAAAAACCTTTGACCAAACTTCCACAAAATTGACACAGAACAAGAACAGTCTGTCTGCTACAGTACAGCTGTGCCAAATTTGGTGATCCAAAATCTAGTTTCAAGTTATAATTTTTTTGTTTGGGCTGCCCATATTTTTAGAATTGCCTTGTAGAATGCATATGTTTCCTCTGCTACATAGTTGAACTGTTGTGGGAGTGGAAGCCAAGGCTTTTGAGGAAATACAGAATGATTTGGCCATGCTTTTGTTTGGGCTGCTCATATTTTTAGAATTGCCTTGCAGAATGCATATGTTTCCTCTGCTACACAGTAACATAGCTGAACTGTTGTGGGAGTGGAAGCCAAGGCCTTTGAGGAAATACAGAATGATTTGGCCATGTTTAGCCTTGAGAAAAGAAAGTTGAGGGGAGATATAAAAGCAGTCTTCAAATGCTTTTAAAGATTACTATACACAAGAGTGGGAGAGTCTGTTCTTGATCATTCCAGAGTGCAGGAGATATAATAATGAGCTCTAGTTACATGAAGCCAAATTTCAAATGAGTTTGGATAAAAATTTTCTAATTGTTAGAGTAGTACAGCCATGAAACCAGTTTCCTCAGGAAGTGGTAAGCTCTCCAGCATTGGAAGCATTTAAGAGAAAGATAAACAGCCGTCTCTTAGATATAAACTCCTACATTGGGGAGGGAGTTGGACTTGATGATCTTCTAAGCCTCTTTCAACTCTAGTATTCTGTAATTCTGCGATAGACACATATGTCTGTTTCATATCCACATAACTAAACTACCTGTCATTAATTTTCCTTGTCAAAGCAAAGATGGGTCCCCGTTGTGTATCCATATATTTGAATTAATGCTCCTTATATTTCCATACTTTTGTTAACCAGCTTGCTCTGCACTTTGCAAATAAAATAAAATAAAATAAAATGTCTTTCTTATATTTCCATACTTTTGTTCTCCAGCTTGCTTTGCACTTTGCAAATAAAATAAAATAAAATGTCTTGCGTGCCATTGTTTCCTGTTTAGCATATATGTAAAAACAGCTGACAGACTTGCTCCTGTATCCAAAACATTTTGCTACAGCTGCAAATGCTGGACATGATCCATGGATAGTCATGCCATTTATGATACAAATTAATCACCTTTTAACATTTTGATTACATAAAAAAAGAGTAGTAGACACAACACTGACTGATCCTACGGAAGAGTGAGATAAGCATTGGTTGGGTTGGGTTTTCCCTGAAGGACAAAGTGCTTAGCTTGGGGATTCTCCTGGACATAATGCTATCTGTCAAGGCACAGGTAGCATTGGTCACCAGGAACACCTCCCACCAGCTTTTACTGATTCGTCAGCTGTTACCTGTCTGGATAAACCAAATCTTTTAATAGTAATCCATGCCTTGATAATCTCTAGGCTAGACTGTGTTCTATGTAGAACTTACTGTTAGGAGGCTCATGCTCATGCAGAAGTGACCATCCAGCTGCTAATAGGAACAAGACAGGTTGGTAGACAATGCTACATGGATACCGTAGGAGGTACACTACCCTGTTTTGCCGAAAATAAAACGTAACCTGAAAATAAGCCCTAGTATGATTTTTCAGGATGCTCATAATATAAAAGCCAAGTAAAAACATGGATGTTTATTCAGACCTTCCCTCCAGTCAATACTTGATTCTCTCTTCTTATTTCTCCTTTATTTATTTTTACTCTATTTTCTTGGTTTCTACATTTTCATTTGTAGATTTATGTAACTATGTGTTTTTATTAATTGTTTGTATTATATTGGAAACTGCTCATAGTGGTCGCATAGACCAGATGGGTGGAATACAAACAACCCCGTATAACGATGTTTCCTCTGGGCGATTTTCGCTTAGCGAAGTTTGGGACCATGCTTCGCATAACGAATGCGATTTTAGGTCCCCTGCTTCACTTAACAATGTTTATTTTTTCATTAAAAAAAGTGTCTTAGAAGGGTCAAAAACGGTTCTAAATGCTTGGATTCGTTAGAGGACCCCCTAAGCCATGTGCAAACCTGATTTGGCTTTGATCTGAACTTTCGTTAATTTATGGCGAATTGTTTTCTCCCCCATAGGAAAACATGGAGCTGTCAGATTTTGACAGGTCCATTGATTCCTATGGGCCGGAAAAAAAAATTAACCATAAATTAACGAAAAGTCAAATCAAAGCCAAATCAGGTTTGCACATGGCTTAGGGGGTCCTCTAACGAATCCAAGCATTTAGAACAGTTTTTGACCCTTCTAAGACACCTTTTTAATGAAAAAAGAAACATCGTTAAGTGAAGCAGGGGACCTAAAATCGCATTCGTTATGCGAAGCATGGTCCCAAACTTCGCTAAGTGAAAATCGCCCATAGGAAACATTGTTATACGAGGCATATTATTTTCTTTTAAAAAAACATCATTATGCGAATTCATCGCTAAACGAGGCAATCGTTAAGCGAGGCACCACTGTATTGGAAGCCGCTCAGAGTGGTCGCATAGATGAACGGGGCACAAATAAATAAATAAATAAATAAATAAATACATAAATACATAAATAAATAAACCCTAACCCCCAAAATAAGTCCTAGTTAAGTGAAACCCTGCCCTCCACCATTGTGCAGCACTGTGCAGCAACCAGAAGAGGACATTACTATAAATTAAAACATCCCCTGAAAATAAGCCCTAATGTGTTTTTTGGAGAAAAAATTAATATAAGACCCTGTCTTATTTTCGGGGAAACACGGTAGTTACCCATGTCTTTCCAGGCTCAGTTTGAAGTGCTCTGTCATCCTAAAGCTGTAAACTGCTTGAGACTAGTTAGCTAGTAGAACATTTGCACAGTTAAAACTGGTGCAGCAGTTCATTGAGACATATAATTTGGTCGTTGTGAGATTTGCCTTAGTTGCATCTTGTTTGGATTCCTGCAACGTGCTCTACATGGGGCTGCCTTTGAAGAGGGTTCAGAAACTGCAGCTGTTCCAAAATGCTGCTGGAGACAGCTAACTGGTTCTAGCTGCACGGAGCATATAACTCCCCTTTAGCAACAACTTCACTGACTGCCAGCCTAATTCCAAGTGCAGGTTATGATCCATAAAGTCCTATATGACTTGCATCTAGGCTGTCTGAAGGACAGGATCACCCCATATGAGGCTTCTCAGCTTTTATGAGCTTGTGGAGAGACCTTTCTCTCTGTGGCCAGATGGGATGTCTCAATGAACTGTTGCACCAGTTTTAAATGTGCAAATGCTCTACTAGTTAGTACCTAGTCCCATTCAGTTTTAGGATGAGAGGACACTTTAAACTGAGCCTTGAAAGACATGGGTAACTACTGCAGCTGGTACAGTATCCATGTACTATTGTCTACCAACCTGTCTTGCTCCTGTCAGCAGCTGGATGTTTACTTCTGCATAAACACGAACCTCCCAACCTTTTCCAAGCTCATTTGATGAGGACACGAGAAAGGGCCTTTTTGATGGCTGCTCTCAGGAACTGGAATATCCTGCCTCGAGAAGCTGGGTCGGCCCCCTCTCTTTTGTCTTTCTGTCAGGCAAAGACATTCCTTCTCAGACAGGCTTTTAAGAAATAGGTGTGTGGGGGGAGAGGGTTCCTCAGGAATGCTATATTTGTTGAACTTAGAGATTCTAAAATGTTTTTAATTTGTAGTTTTAATAATTGATAATTGTTTTTTAATATGGGTTTTTACTGCATTTTTAAAATCTGTGATTGCTATATAGTTTTAACTGTTGTGAACTTTCTAGGGTCTCCTTTAAGAAAAAGATGGCATATACTTCAAATAACCGAAATAATGAATGAATGAATGAATGAATGAATGAATGAATGAATGAATGAATGAATGAATGAATGAATGAATGAATGAATGGGGGTGATGTGGTGGCATAGAGAGGTGGGGTGGGATGAACTAATTACAAGTTGATCCCCCCCACACATCAGAATAATCAATGTTTGGCTTACAATGGTTGTTGCTGCATGATGTCAAGTACTTGTGACTTACTATGGACCCTATCAATGAGTGAATCACAAAAGGTCTTATCTGTAACAGCCCTGCTCAGGTTTTGCAAACTAAAGGCCATTGATTCGTAACTACTATCAGATTGGGAGTTTGAGACTGGACAGAATTTTGGGGAGTTTGGGCGGGAGAGCGGTGGTTGAGCGGTGGGACTGAAGGAGGATGTTTGTTAAGAGTTAACAACATTGCTTGAAATATCTTCATCTGTAACAATAAAACAACTTCTGTTTGGTTCTTTTAAAATGACATATGGCCTGGACCTCGATCATTAATAGTAGGTAATGTTGATGTAATCATCTGGTGGCAGCTGAGGGGCACGTAGCGTGAGCTCTTAGTTTGGTGAAACAAACAGAGGCCATGTGGGGATTGTGACAGAAAGTATATGCTTTGAACTGTCCATTTCCAAATTTCACACATTCTAATGACACAAATTGCTTGCTTTTTGAGGTAAGTGATCTCTGCTATATTGCTGAGAAAGGCAACCGTATAATGGTAGAGTGTTGCTTTTGTATGCTGAAGGTCCCCATTGTGAATCCCTCCTTCACCAAGTAAGGCTGGGCAGTTCCACTATCTGGGCAGTTGCTCCCGATCAATGGTTTTAAACCCAACGGTTAGGTCTCCCAGCTATTATAGAGCCCACTAAATCCATGTCAGAATGGTAGGGCAACACTTCATTAATCCCGTGGATCTACTCAGGTTGGAGATAGCACTTGCATTTGAGCAAAGATAGACAATGCTGAGCTGGAAGGACCAGTGGGAACTTCCTACATTCCTATAAAGTTTAAACTGTGTGTTTATCCTTCTCTTAGATATCACTAAGATTTGTAATTATTTGATTGCAGGTCGAAAGTTTAAGAAGTTTAATAAGGTCAAAGTTCTAAGAGCACTTGATATGGTTGCACTCCAGCAGCCCACAGTCCACCCGAATGAAAGCCAAGCTCTTGCCCAGAGGCTCTCCTTTTCTCCAACCCAAGACATCCAGTATATCCTTCCACTGATTAATGTCTTACAAGGCATCGAGCCAGAAGTTGTCTATGCAGGTTATGACAACACACAACCGGAAACTCCGAGTGCTTTGTTGACCAGCCTTAATCAACTGTGCGAGAGACAGCTCCTCTGCGTTGTCAAGTGGTCCAAGTCTTTACCAGGTAACAGAATCTTCTTGATGATGGCAATAGCACAGTGGTTTAGCTATCAGCTGGGAGTTCAGTTCCCCACTGTGCCTCCTTTACAGGGGCTGGACTCAATGATCCATAGAGTCCCTTACAGCTCTGCAGTTCTATGATTATGATAATAATTGGTAGACCTGGTCAAGCCTCCCTTTGTAATATCCAGTTTTGGACACTGCAATTTAAGAAGCTTATTGCCAAACTAGAATGCTTCCAAAGGAGGGTGGCAGAAATGATGACCAACTTGGTCACTTAACGTCCTGTGAGAAAAGGTTGAAGGTGGTGGGCATATTTAGCCTTCAGAAGAGATGTTTAAGAGGCAGGCTGATAACCAATAGTGGTGAAAACAGTATATTCCACTTAATTACGGAGTGCATGCACCTTCACTTTGTTGGGCTCAGGCTGCATGGTATGTGACCCACTAAAACAAATGCAACCCACCTGCTGTATAAGACAGTTTAAAGTGTTGTGTCCGTATATGTCATGTACTTCCAACATTTCTCATTTTCTGTTTTTTTTCTAGTCTTACCATGCTAAGACTTGTCAGGACTTCTGCATGCCCTTGGCTTCCTGATAAAACAAGATGATTGCATTTTTCAATCTCAGGTTGTTCTTCTCATGAGCATGTGCTTTGCAGATTTTGGTAAATTATACAACCAAAAATAAAATTAATTAATTAATTAATTAATTAATTGATTGATTCCGCCCATCTAGTAGCATGTCACTGCTTAGGGTAGTTTATAAACATAAAAATGTACTCATCCACTCAGGTTAAACTCAATAGATAACATTATTTCCAGCATTGTGAGGGGTATATGTATTTTAATGGCAAGGAACCTCTCGGTTTAAAAAAGAAGTAACAACTCTAATTCAGCACTAATATAGTTGCATCCAGCAGGGATTCAAACCTAGATTCTAGCACTCAAAGCCCTGGGCCTACATAGATGAGTCTATTGATTCTGGTTTCTTCCCCATTCAGTTTTTTTTTTTTTTTAACTTTTCAGTTTTTCCTAATGTGGATATCAATCATTACGTTTGTACATTTTTAGGAAACTCTTATAAAAATGAATTGAAATGACATTATTCCCCACCCCTCTGCCAGACAGTAACACTTTAACCCATGGGTTTTAATTATGAGAGAAAGTTTCAGATTAAATATTAGGACGAACCTCCAAACTCTCCCAGCTCTGTAGTTCTAAGATGATGATGATGATGGAGGGTGACACTGTCTGATAAGGTGGTGGACTGTGTAGTAGGAGAGGTTTGTAAGCAGAATTTGAATGACCAAGGAGATTGTGGTAATGGTTTTCCTTCATCTGAGTAGTTTTGAACCTGATAGACTTTACTGAAACTTTTGATAGGTCCCTGGTCCTCAAATGATGGAGGAATTTACTTTAGAGCAGTCTTTAAATAAACGTTAAGCCTCCGCTCTTCAACATGTCATCTTTTGTAACTGTTATTGTGAAATAAAGAACTCCACGATTAAATCTCATCATGAGGAATTGTTTACGTATTCCTTAGTTACACAGCACGTTATATCATGAAAAATGTTTTCCCTAGATAATCCTTTAATCCAGCCACTTGGTTCAAAGACTGAGGAAGGGGGCTGTTAGTTGTAACAGAGATGGAAGTGTGTTTGTTTTAGGGGATATAAACAGATGTGATGAGAGAAGGTGGCTTGCTTTGGAATTGGATATGATAAAAGAAGACCTGATACTTTAATATGCAGCAGGGGATCAAGGAATCGTCAGCACTATCACTAATTTGAATTGTAGCTTCCGTTATTCTTATTATGCGCTATACTGATAAAACAGTGGTTCCCAACTGAGGGTCCCCAGATGGATTAAACCTCCCAGAGTCCTTCACCAGTAGCTGTGCTGGCCAGGATTTCTGGGAGCTGTAATCCAGGAACATCTTGGAAACCCAAGTTGGGGATCATTGTGATGGAAGTTGCATGGTGAAACATCTGGATGAAGTGAGGTTGGTCTTATTTTCCAGTCTAACGCAAGACAGTGGTGTTCTCATCTAAGTTTTAACTACTGCTCTAAGTAACATCTGGTTGCAGAGTAGAGATGCAATATGGGCAAAGCTCTCAAGATCCAGGATTTTTAATTAGTAGGGACAATTATGTTATTTGCCACCTGATCAGGTTTCCATGTTGCCTCTGAATTTAGCTGTGATCCTCACTGTACCTATAGGGGGAAAGGAAGGAGAGATTTTCTTAACAATATATTCCATTTTGAGCTACAGTGGCGCCTCACTAGACAGTTACCCCGCATGACAGTTTTTTCTCTAGACATTTACTTTTTGCGATCGCTATAGCAATTCGCAAAACAGTGATTCCTATGGGGGAATTTCGCTGGACAATGTTTGGTCCCTGCTTCGCAAACCGATTTTTGCTAGACGATGATTTTGACAGCTTCCTTCGCGCTCGCAAAACAGGTGTTTTCGGGACCTAAACTTCGCAAGACAGGGATTTAAACAGCTGATTGGCGGTTCGCAAAGCGGCTTCCCTATGGCCGATCTTTGCTAGACAACGATGATTCTTCCCTACTGGAACGCATTAAACAGGTTTCAATGCATTCCAATGGGGAAATGCTTTTTGTTAGACAATGATTTCGCTAAACAGCGATTTCAGTGGAATTTAAACAGCTGATTGGCGGTTTGCAAAGCGGCTTCCCTATGGCCAATCTTTGCTAGACAACGATGATTCTTCCCCACTGGAACGCATTAAACAGCTTTCAATGCATTCGAATGGGGAAATGGTTTTCGTTAGACAATGATTTCGCTAAACAGCGATTTCAGTGGAACGGATTATCATCATCTAGCGAGGCACCACTGTATTTGTTCTGCAATATGAAGTATTTGCTGTGGTTTTGTCAGCTCCGTTCAGTAACTGATTCAGCACCTATCTTAGTACTGTGCTATTTCCGTACAGCACACTCTCGTCAACATTTGCCATCACACTGTTGGCTATGGGAAACGGGAGAAAAGAATGCAATTCTGGAGTGCATGTAGCTTCACTTTGTGTGGGTTGGGCTGCATGATACATAACCCACTAAAACAGATGCAACTCACCTGCTGTATAAGGCAGTTTAAAGTGTTGCATCCATAGCTGACAAGTACTTCCAACATTTCTCATTCTCGGTGGTTTTCTGCGTCTTTCCATGCTAAGACTTACTCCCCATGCCCGTGGCTTCCTCATAAAATAAGATGCTATTTTTATTTTTCCCTTTATTAATCCCCCCTCCCCAATTTCTTGGCCATTGTTCTTCTTGCAGAATGGTAAAATTCTGTGTAGCTTAAGGCACTTTCCATTAAATCCTGCAGAGGAAAATTGCCCTTTTAGACAGGAACTGTAATAATCCTGCACAGTTTGGCATTTTATGGGGGGAAACAACTACCACAAAACTTCTGAGAAATCTTGTGGAATTTCCCATGAGATTGCTTTTGGGAGGACAGGAGAAGAATATTGTTTTTCTGAGAAGTCTCTCCAGGAGAAGAAAAAGGGGGATGTACCTTCTTATTTCTCTCAAAAGAGTAAAAGCCTGCAAAATTCACACCATGATTGCTAACATTTCCTATAATCTCTCTCTTTCTCTTTCCTCTCCCTCCACATCCTGCATTGCCTGTTTCCAGGATTTCGGAACTTACATATTGATGATCAGATAACTCTTATCCAGTATTCATGGATGAGCCTAATGGTATTTGCCATGGGATGGCGGTCCTATAAGCATGTCAGTGGCCAGATGCTGTACTTTGCTCCTGATTTAATCCTAAACGAGTAAGTAAAGTTTTTTCCGCTTCCACCTGTCCCTCATCTGCCTGCTTTTACTCTTTGGACATTGCACAGTTTAAACAATGTTGTTTCTAACCGCCAGTTTAAAACTTGCTGCTCTTCTTCGTGGCCTCTGTGAATCACACTATGGGTAATCCATGCATGCGCGGAGACTTGTTGGAATATTCTAGAGCTTCTGCGGTAGAAAAGGAAAATACATTAACATAGACCACCTCCCCCATGGTATATGTACGTTGGCACCAAGGCTCTCCCTTCAGTTTCTTTCAACTGCCGTTTTGAGAGCCTCGATCGCTGCTTCTGTGAGAAATCTGAAAACGAAAGAAGGAAAATTATCATCATCATCATCAAAAGATATGCTCCAATCTTAAGGCCAAAGAATCTCTCCCCCACCTTTCCATTGTTTTCTTTTCTAAACCAGTTCTCGGTTCATGGCCTTTTCAGACCCATTTAAAAACTGCATAGCCTGCGATATCGAGATCCTGCTCTCTGATGGCCACGCTAAATGCCTTTTTTGCTTTGGTGATGCCATTAAACTTCCTCTTCCCCTCACTGCAAAAACTTTAAATGCGGAGTTCTTCGCAGTCACCTCTCTAGACTCAAGCTTCAGCTCTGGGAGCAATCTCTAAAGCCACGGATGAAGCTGTTTTCGAAGTGACAGAACAGCACCCGTCAGCTGCTCCATCTTGTTCCGATCATCGACAATCTACTCTGGCCTCAATATAGATGGTCACGTGAGTGCAAAAAGCCAAACATTTGATGTTAAAACCCACAACATTGAAAACAGCCTCTAAGAGAAAACCATCCATGGACACTTCCTCGGCATGGAAACCATCACCTCCAAAGAAGGCTAAGTCTTTCCTTGGCACCCGAAGAAGGCTAAGTCTTTGAAATCGAAACCTTCCACAACCATTTCCCCGACTCCACACCAGGGTGTGGAAACTTCATCTGCATCGGCTCTGTTTCAGATGTAGAGACATTTCCACCTCATCAACCTCACCATCGGCCTCCCCACTGTCACACTCTTTTCTTTATGCGGCGGTTGACCCAACTGAAGGGAGAGCCTTGGCGCCAAGGTACATATACCAGGGGGGAGGGGGTCTATGCTAATATATTTTCCTTTGCTACCGCAGAAGCTCTAGAATATTCCGACGAGACTCCGCGCATGCACAGATTACCCATAGCGTGAATCACAGAGGTCCACTCGAACTGCAATTACAGGTAGGTAACCTGTCGTTATTTTTTACTCAGTTTGGCTGAGTCCCGTTGTGCATCTCTGCATGGGCAATGGGAAGGACATCAACAGCAATGGCAGATTGCCACTAAATAAAGGCTCAATGTCATGATTTTTGGCTGTGCACAGCTTTCACAAATAGGATGACACAGTGTGCACCTTGAAATCAAAACGGAAAGCCTTTTATCAGCAGCAGTCCAGTGCTGATGATGTTATTCCTACCAAATAGAATTTTGGCCACTGGGTGCAAGGGAACACAGAATTTCCTACAGTCAGATATTGATCTGTGTACCAAATTGACCTGGACAAGAATCAGGTGGTTTTAGCTTCTTGCTATTTCCCCAGCAACATCCATATGATTTTTTAAAAAAACGATGCCAGTAGGAAGGATCATCAGCATTGTGCTGAGCGTCATATTTTGGGGTAACCGACTTTCTGCTGTCTAGAAAACTGTAACAGCAATATCAACAAGCATTTGTATAACAGTTCAAAGTGGTTCAAAAGCATCACATACATTGGGGAAAATCCTGTTGGTATAATTTTGCACCAGTGTCACCGGGATCAGACACCAGGAGGATTTAATTTAAATGCATAAGAAGTTTTGTATCTCACCATCGATCAGGTTCCAGGGCTCCCTAGAACTCCCTTTTGGGAATCTTGCAGATACAGGATGGGTGAGCTCCTGTAACAGAAAAAAATGCCACTGGTTCGCCACTGACAGCCCAGAATTCTGAACGTGGAAATTTGACTCCCTCTCTATCTGTTTCCTGAGTCTCCCAAAAGCTTCCCAGGGCAAAAAGGAGCCCTTAGGGATTCTCAGAACCTGATGCAGGGAGGATAGGAAACTTTCTGTGATTTTAAATGAAATGTTCTGGGACCTGATCTGAAGTTATGCCAGGGCAAAGGTATGCAACAGGATACTGATCTCTGTCTCATTTTAATAGTTGTAAGAGCTCAAGATGGCTTAGGGTTAAGATCCTTGTTTTGCTTTGTTTATCAAATACATGGTAGGCTACTTGTGACCTTCCAGATATTCCTGGCCTGCAAGAGCCAGCGTCTCTCCTTATTGGCTGTTGCTGTCTAGAGTTAATGGGCATTACAGTCTGGCAGCATATAAAGAGCCATAGATGATCAGCTGTATTTCTGCTGTGGTTTGCAGAGCAACTTGCATCGAACATATAAAAATGCAATATAGAAAGCAGAGCAGCAGCTACAAATTGAGTAAGCATATAAACATTGCCACATAAGACACACACCCCACACACAGAGAGAGAAAAACAATTGAAAATGAATTGCTTACTGCCAAATGGCAATGAGAACAAAACAAGATGAACATCTTTGGGGAAGGTTTTCCAGAAATGTTGGACTACCGCTGAAAAGATTGGTTTGTGGAAGAAGTGAGGGAAGAACCAAGCCCTTAAGACTTGCCAGCTCAGTTTTTTATCTGGTTTTAATCAGTTTGAAGGGCTGGTTTCAGAATTCTGCAAAGTGAAAGCCTTCTTGATGACAATATAGTGATATTATTCATAACACATTCTTCAAAGGTACAAACGCTGAAGAGCCACCCTTTCTGTGTGCATGTTTTATTTAGCTTGTTTTCTTTCTCTTCTTGGGATGGATGTAAGACAGAGGATGAAGGAATCATCGTTCTATTCACTGTGCTTGTCCATGTGGCAAGTCCCACAGGAGTTGGTCAGGTTACAAGTCACCTGTGAAGAGTTCCTCTGCATGAAAGCTTTGCTCCTCCTCAATACAAGTAAGAACCATGTTATCTTTTCACCCTCCTTCTCTTCCTCCGCAATCCTCAGGCAAATACAATGGTGCCTCGCTTAACGATTTTAATTGGTTCAAAAAAAATCGCTATGTGAAAACATCGTTAAGCGAAACACCATTTCCCATAGAGATGCATTGAAAACCGGATAATCCATTCCAATTGGGACGGATTACCATCCTTAAGCGAAGATCGCCATAGGAAAAAACGTTAAGCGAAACGCAGTTCATTGAAATGCATTGAAGCCTATTTCAATGGGGGAAAAAATTCACAAAAAATTCAGAAAGACTTAGAACAAAGCCAGATTAAGTTAACGAAGGTTTTATTAGGTGCACTAATGATTCCAAGCATTTTAAACATTTTTAAACATTTTAGAATATTTTAAAAATAGCAAAAACGGGGCTGTCAAAAAAAAGTTAAGCGAAACAAGGGGAACTAAAACCAAAAACGTTAAGCGAAGCATGGTCCCAAAATCGTTAAGGAAAAATCTCCCATAGGGAAAATTGTTAAACAAAGCGCAAGATCGCTCCGGAAAAAATCGTTAAGCGAATTTTTCGTTATACGAAGCAATCGTTAAGCGAGGCACCACTGTATTTGTAAAGTGCTTCAGATTTCATCCAGCCGCCAAGATGAAAATAGTTGACCTGGCATAAAACAGTTTACAAACGAGGGAAAGTTACTTTTGTTTGGCTCCCTGATTTGCCCTGATGGCTGCATGATCTGGCAAGTTGCATTATAAAAAGTAACTTTTTCCAAGTTTCTTCCCATGTACCTAGTTTAGTACTGGATAAAGGAGCCGCCATCATGGTTCTAATTGTAGGTAATGCACTTCTTAAAAATTCAATTTCCATTATTGTTTAATCATATTATAGATAGTGTAAACTCCTTTATAAATGACTCATTCTTTTAAATAAACTGGGGAAAGAAACTGCCATTGTAGAGATATGCCAGTTGGGAAACTGAAACGTTCTATGAAAAAAAAAAAGACAAAGTGTTTATTTGTTTTATTAACAAATTAAAAGGTACCAAAATCAGGGATCAAGGCAGTGGAGATGTGATTACTTAATAGCATTTGACACTGATTGACAGGGTTGTGTGTGAGGTTCCCTGGCAGACAGTGATACCTTGAGATAATTTTAGACCCTGGATGCACTGTTTTTAGAGGAGGCCCCTGTTTTAGATTACCATGTATATTACTTCACTTGTGGATCACTCCGTTAGTATTTCTGTTCTTTCTCTTCCACCCTGACCCTCTCAACTCCTGTATTGTTGACAGTGGAGATGTGATTACTTAATAGCATTTGACACTGATTGACAGGGTTGTGTGTGAGGTTCCCTGGCAGACAGTGATACCTTGAGATAATTTTAGACCCTGGATGCACTGTTTTTAGAGGAGGCCCCTGTTTTAGATTACCATGTATATTACTTCACTTGTGGATCACTCCGTTAGTATTTCTGTTCTTTCTCTTCCACCCTGACCCTCTCAACTCCATGCTCCCCATCTGCTCCCCCTTTCCTGATAAGTTACAGTAAAAGAACCCAGACATCAACTCTTTGCAAGCCGGTATGGGGAAAAAGAAATTAATGAGCACAGAGACTTTTGAAAATAAAAATAAAAACTAAACTGCAATAAAAATTTCTAGCTACATACCTGTCTACCTCCTACCTGTAAAGGGGAAACATAATAATGGATGGAGTTTTAGAAGAGGCTTAGTCTGTGCTAGCGTATCGGGTCAAACAAAAGAAAAAAATGAACAGTAAAGAAGACAAAAATGTTGTGGCACCTTAAAGACTAACCTGCTGTATTTTAATCTGAGCTTTAAACAGAGAAGTCCACTTCCTTAGACGTAAGAGTGGGATTGCATGGCAAAGATTTATACAATTAGATGTATAGGTATACAGATAACTGTAGAAATAATACTGGATAGTGTTGTTGTATCTGCATCAGCCCAGGGACAAATGTGAGACCCATTGTCTGTCATCCTCTAGTGGGCCTTCCTCCGTGGAGGACCCTAGACCTCAGCCTGAAGGCTCAGCCTTATCTGCAGTGCTGCTCGCAAGCTTCAAGTTTGGTTTTTTCCTCCAGGGTCAATGGAGAAAAATTGGGCTGGACTTAACAGGTGCCTGAACACGACACATGTGCAGAAAGGTTCCCTGCAGACATCACTTTATTCATGACAGCAGAAGCAGGGAAAGAAGCCGTTTGAGCTCTCGATGTGTTCTGTGCTGTGGGTCTAGGCCAGTGATTCCTACACTTGGATCATCCTGGTGTTTTAGGACTACAACTCCCAGAAATCCTAGCCAGCACAGCTAGCGGTGAAGGCTTCTGTCAGTTTTAGTCCAAGAATACCTGGGGACCCAGATTTGGGAATAGACATGGGGACGAATAATACAACGGATCACGATATTCGTCAGAAATTGCTGATTTGTTAAATATTCTTCCTTTCATATTCGTGGGTTCCAGCCACCCTGATGAATTCTAAGGGATGAATATTGCCCCGTTTTTATTCATCCCCCATATGAAGAGAGGGAAGGCTAGCCTTCCGTCTCTTCCTGTGGCTTTTTCATTCTGCCTACTTGCCTTCCAATCAGCTGATCTGTGGGCCAATAGGCAGCCACCCCCACGCAGCCTATCCCCCGCCCCCTTCCTCTCCCTACCGTAGCCAACGTCCTCACCATGCCACTCCCTGCCGTGCCACACTCTTCCCCGTCAACCCCACCAATGCCTCTTACCGTAATCATCGCCGCTGTCTCCAGCAGGCCTACGCAGCCACAGCCTGTAGAAAGGGACACTGTCTGCCCTTGCAAATATAGCAGCTGTGGCTTCATTTAGGGTAGGGAACCTGCAGCTGCCATCTTTGCAAAGGGCAGCCTGGATTCCCTTAGCCTGCCTTAGCCTGGGGCAGCAGGGGATCAGGGTGTTTTTAAGTAAACCCCCCCCCCCACAAATCGACGAATAACTTTGTGAGTCAAGGGGGGGGCTTCATGCTTCGTCAACTTTGATAAATCACGAAG